TATGCTGCCGATTGATGCACAGGGCAACTGGGCGTGGGCAACGACGAGCCAGTTGGTGTGGCCAAGTTGGCAGAGGACCTCACCAGCAAGCGCTTTCTGCAAATCGCTTGCGGTGGCCAGCACTCTGTGGGCTTGAATGGTACACCTGGCCTGCTCCTCCCATCCTTCGCGCATCCAGCTCGTGGCACTCTTTGCTTGAAGTCACTCGCCGCATGCACTTCGCACCGGGCACGATCGGGCTGTCGCTGATGTGTGCTCTCACACCTCTTCTGCTGCTTGTCGCTCTCAACAGAGCCGGGCGAGCTCTTCACATGGGGCAACAACGACTTTGGGCAACTGGGCCGCTCGGGCAGGCAGTTTGCGGCCCAGCGCGTCGAGGCCCTGGAGACCATGCGCATCGTTCAAGTCGCTGCAGGCGGTACCGCAAGCACACCACGCCACGACCACAATTGTGAGCTCTCTGCGCAAACGCTAATAAGTGACCACCTTCAGCGACGCACACGGCGGTGCTGAGCGAGAGCGGGCACGTCTACGCGTGGGGCCAAAATCACAAGGGCCAGGTGGGCACGGGCGACTACCAGGACTACTCGCGGCCCAAGCGGCTCAAGGCCGGCGACCAGACGGTGGCACAGGTCGTGTGCGGGAGCAACGTCACCGTGGCCCTCGCAGACAACGGCGAAGTCTACGCCTGCGGCGAAGGCATGAACGGACGTACGCGCACCGCACACCTCCGCATCACCAAGAAGCGAGCGAGAGGATCGGCGCTGGTGCATGTCTCACGCGTTTCTTTTTAGAACTGGGCACCGGCGAGGTGATACCGAAGAGCTCGCTCACGTTGGTGGCGCCGTTGACCGGCATACCCATCCGCCTGATCGCCGCCGGGACCACACACTGCATGGCATTGACCGGTACCCCACCACCACCACCACCAACGGGCTTTCGCTTCTTTCGTGTCAGACACTCACCTTCACTTCGTATTCAGTCTCGGGCAGCCTGTACTGCTGGGGAGGGTATATATGACATCTCCACGACAGCGCCAAGCAACATCTTACCAACCACTTGAATTTTTCTTTCTCTCACACAATTCAATAGCAATGCGTTTGGTCAACTGGGCCTGGGCGACAAGTCGGGCCGACCCCGGCCGTCGCTGCTCGCCTCCCTACACCGTCAGCATATCACGCATGTGTCATGCGGCGCCTTCCACACAGCTGCGACTTCAGGTGCGTTCGTGTATGTGCGTGCGCGCGTGTGGTGGTGCGTGTGCGTTCGCCCGTATCGGAGTGTTGGCCAACGTCGACTCGTCATGCCGCCCCAGAATCGGGGACACTCTACACCTGGGGCCAGGGTTCCTACGGCCAGCTCGGGCACGGTGTAGGACAAATGGAGTTGCAGCCTCGTGCCGTATTTGAGCTGCTGGGCACCAAGGTAGGCGTCGATCGTCTTCTTTGCGCCGTGTGTGTGTGTGTGTGTGTGTACGACAAACTCTTCATTCATCGTTTTTTCATGACTGGCCAAAGGTGGTCCATGTGGCGTGCGGGCGACTGCACACCGTGGCACTGGTGGAGGGACAGGTGGATGGCACCAGCCGCACCACAGCCTACGCCTGGGGCCTCGCCTCTAACCTGGTATCAGGCCTCTGTGCTCCCCCTGAGGCCTGGCGGCTGTTGTCTCCTTTCATGACCTGACCGTCGTGCGTGCGTGCGATTCGTGGATTAATCACCATTACAGGGGATCGGGGCGAAGGCCAACACGAATGTGCCCAAGAAGATCGACAACCCGGGGCTGCACCGCAGTGTGGTCGCGTTGAAGGACGTGGCGGCCACCGCGGCGGGCGACCACACCTTCCTCATACTCAAGCCCTCGGGCGCCTCTCCGTTCCTGCCACGCATGCTCTCACACCTCTCGTACGACTTCATCACACCTGAGCGCTTCGGCTGTTTCATCATTTGAAGTGTGTGTGCTTGTGTTGGTGTAGGTTGGCCTCTCTGAAGGCGCTGATCGCCAACAAGTCCCCGATGGAGCTCCAGGCCGCGCTCTCCCTCTTGTTCTCATCGTCCATGTGCATGAACGCTTCGTTTCTTGCCGTACGTTACCACGCCCCGTCTTCCCTCCCGACGCACAGCACGTAAGATCTAACTTGAGGCCTCCCATTCAGGCCAATCACATGGACACTGGCGAGGTCGACCCGGGCGTTGACCTCAACGCTGTCCGTGAGGCCTACTCAGTCATTCTGGCGCATGTATGCAACGCACGCACGCACGCACGCACGCACGGTCCAACGCTCAACCCGACCGTTTGTTGAATTCCTGCTTCAGGGTCGCGCTAATCCCGCGCTGTTGAACGCCTTCGGCAATGCCACGGCGCGCCTTGTAAACAAACTACCCTCAATCCCCAACCCGGCCAGGTACTCACTCCCCTAGTCTGCCCTTCCCGCGTGTGTGTCGTGCGTCGTGCGTCTTTCCACATCTCACCCACGACCGGCAGGCTGACCGAAAAGCTGCGTGTCTATATCATCATTTTCGAGGTAAGCGGTCCAACATCCTCATCTTTACACAAAGACAAGCCACGCTCAGAATATCTTTACATGTTTGGTTTAACTATGTGGCTATCAGAACCCGCTTTTCCTGGACACGTCCAAGAGCCACCTTGTGGTGGAGCGACTGTGCGCCGCGCTCCTCAAACTCAACGACCCCTCCAAGCAAATACTCTCCAACTGGTGGGCGCGGTGCGTTCTCCTCTCTCCCCGATTAAGGTGGCCATTAGCGTGCGAAAGGCTAATTGGGCGGTTGTGTGCGAAGGTTGCCAGCGGACCACTTCCAGAAGGTGGTCCGTATCGTGTCGGCCTACCTGTCGTTTCTCATCACCACCAAAGGCGCGCCCGACCAGCCGATCTTCTCCGCCACCCTCACCCTCGAATTCCTGTGTACGACACCGCCCCTCTTCCTTTCCCTCTTCTTTCTTTCCAGCTTCGCTGACCATATCGGCACGCGCCACCGCACACGCGCAGACAAGGCCAACGAGCAGGGCCGCATCGTGCCATACACCGAGTTCTACAACGCCGCGGTCTCCGAACGCGTCGACCTCGCCAAGGAATACAAGTAAGTTACTGCCCAGACCAACCCGCTGGTCATTCTCCACCTCGACAGCGTCGCGGTGCTCATTCTGTGCGCCTTGTGCGCGGCAATGCAGGACATGGAAGTCGGGGAACAAGCTCCTGTTCAGTCTGTGTCGCTACCCGTTCCTGTTCTCCACCACTGCCAAGATCAACATTCTCCACATTCACGCCGAGCACGAAATGAGGATCCAGGTCAATCAGGTGCACCGCTCGACCGACATCCTTCTTCTGCATCTTCTTCGCCTCTCATTGTCGCATTCTTCTCATGCCGTACGTGACACGTCGGCAGGCCTACGCGCAAGCGCTGAGCGGGGAGGACGGTACCCTTCCGGTGCTGGTCATCGTGGTCAGACGTCGGCTGCTCATCCAAGATGCCCTTGCCCAGGTGAGTGAACTCCCAACAAGCCACGACGCCTCCCCTACTGGTGTGGTCCATACCATTCAAAGCTCGCCAGCAAAGCCGCCTGTTCGCTCACTCTCGCGCCTTCGTCACAGTTGCTGGCGGCCTCGCCCCGAGACCTGAAGAAGCCGATCCGAGTCATTTTTGCAGGCGAGGAGGCCATCGACCAGGTACTGTGCCCAACAGCCACCCGACGACTATGTTGCCATTGGGCACAATCTCACGATTTTGTGTTGCGTGTGCGTGTTGCCTGTGCCTGTGCCTGTGCGTGTGCGTGTGCGTTGCGTGTTTCAAGGGTGGCGTGACAAAGGAGTTCTTCCATCTGGCCGTCCACGAGCTCTTTGATCCCAACTACGGCATGTTCACATGCCACGCCGAAAACACCACCTACTGGTACGTGCGCTTTCAGCTCCCAAGCACCGTGACTGTCGCTCGCTTCGAATCGAAGCTTGGCCGCACTTTGCTGATGGGCGGTTTTTGTTGGGTCGCGTGCAGGTTCAACCCTGGCTCGTTGGAAAACGAACAAAACTTCCGACTGGTCGGCTTGGTATATATCACCTCTTCCAATCGCCGCGCGCATCCCTTGAGTGCACCACCACCTCCACTCTAATCTCGTCAACGTTCGTACTCTCCAGATCCTTGGACTGGCCATCTACAACGGCGTCATCCTCGACATTCACTTCCCGATGGTGATCTACAAGCAGCTCCTTCAGGGAATTGAGGCGCCCGTCACTCTCGATGACCTCAAAGACGTACGCCCGCGTTTTATCAACCAAACCACGCACACGCACACGACGCATGCCGGCTAATTGATGCAATCACCCTGGCCCTGCAGGCATTCCCGACGCTGGGCAACAACCTGGAGAAGTTGCTCCACTACGACGGCAACGTCGAAGAGACCTTCGCTCTCAACTTTGGTAATAGCTCATCATCATCATTCATCATGTCTCTTGTTGATGACGATCCATTCCTCACGTGTTGTTGTTGGTCGTTCCTAACAGTGACGACGGAGGAGAGGTTCGGCGAGATGCTGGAACACGAGCTGAAGCCCGGCGGAAAGGACATGCCCGTCACCAACGACAATCGGCAGGGTACCTCTCGACGGACATGATCGCCGCTTCTCTCTCTCTCTCTCTGGCTCTGCTCTGCTGACTGCCACTAAACGACGTACGGACGTGTGTTGTTTCGCACAGAGTATGTGGATTTGTATGTGCGGTGGATACTGCGCGATAGCGTCCTGAGCCAGCTCAAGGCCTTCATCGACGGCTTCCGTCTCCTGCTCGACTCGGAAGTGCTCCAGGTAACCACGACACGACATGACATGATACGCACACGACACGACACGCAAGGCAAGGCAAGGCAAGGCACGACTAACTGCCTTTGGGTGCGCCTTGTCAGCTGTTCCGCCCGGAGGAGTTGGAGCTGCTGGTGTGCGGCAGTCAGGAGTGGGACCTCAGGGACCTGGAAAAGGTGACCCTCTACAAGGCGCCCTACACCGCCGAGCATCCCACCATCAGGTGCTCCCACCCCCCGCCCGCCCATCAACTTCATTGCTTTTGTCATCACTGACCGTCATCGTGCGTGTCGTGTCGTGTCGTGTCGTGTCGTGTCGTGCCGTGTCGTGTCGTGTCGTGTCGTGTCGTGTCGTGCCGTGTCGTGTCGTGTCGCGTCGTGCGGCAGGGCGTTCTGGCGTGTGGTGCACGAACTGCCGGTGGACCTGCAGAAGCGGCTCCTTTTCTTCTGCACGGGGTCCGACCGCGTGCCCGTCCAGGGTGCGCTCCCCGCCGGCCCACATCGCGTCCCTCTCTGGCGTTTGTTCACGGGCGAAACACTCACGCGCCCACTCACCCTTTGGGGCGAGGAAAGGCTTGGGCTCGATGAAGTTCGTGATACAGAGCATGGGCCAAGACAACGAGCACCTGCCCGCATCGCACACGTGCTTCAACATCCTCGACTTGCCCGTACCACTCCTCTCCTCTCATCAATCAGGCTCACCATCATCACCAATAACTGATGGTTGAAATGTGGTGTGTGACGTGTGGCCACAACAGGAATACAGCGACGAGGCCAAGCTCAAGGAGAAGCTCACCACGGCGCTCATGCACGCCGAGGGCTTCGGTCTCGTTTGATCGCACACCTCGCGGTATGCGGACACAAGTAAGTTTGAACTGAATGATCTATGAAATGTATTGACTCGCGGTCAAAGCAACAAAGCACAACAAAGTGGTGATGACAGAGAGAAGGAGAGAAGAAGTGACTTCAGACTGGGCTCTCGGTAGTCTCGGGCTGGGCCTGCACGATCAGGCGGCGCAGGCGAGGTTGGAGAGCACGGCCGACGGGAGGGCCTGCGAGGGCGACGAGGTCTGCACCACGATGCCGGCGCCCTGGCTGGCACCCACCAGTAGTGGGCCGAAGTTGAAGGCCACGTTGAAGACGTTGGTGTTGCCCTGTCGGTTGAGTTCCCACCACTGGGTGATGGTGGAGCCGGCCACGGGGAGGCCAAAGGTGAGCACGCCGCCGTTGAGCGGGCGCTGGCCGGTGTTGGTGATGGTGATGTCGAAGATCTGGAAGAACTGGTTGGGTCCCGTGGTCCAGCTGCCGCCGGCCGCCGCCGAGCGGGCCACGATGCTCACCGCGGCGTTGCACCCGGCCGCGGGCGAGGCCGAGGGCTGCGGGGAGGCCACGATGGTGGGCGAGGCCGAGGGCTGCGGAGTGGCCACGATGGTGGGCGAAGGCCCTCCCACGCAGTTGACCGAGACGAGGCGGGTCGTGGGCGGCACCTGAGAGCCGGCCGAGAGGGGCGTGCGCACGATGTAGCCGGCGCCCAGAGTGGCGCCCACCTCGATGTTGCCTCCCGGGTTACGCACGTTGAAGAGGTCCGAGGTGGCGCTCTGTCGCTCGAGGTTCCAGAACTGGGTGATGACCTGCTGCTGGTTGGAGGTGGTGTCGATGGCGATGACGGCCGAGCTGACCGGGCGCGAGCCAGAGTTGAGAAGGGTCAGGTCGTAGATCTGGAAGAAGAAGTCGCCCTCAGTCCAGGAGCCGCCGGCGCTGCTGGGGCGGGTGGTCTGCGACACCGACAGCTGGCACGGGGCCGGCGAGGCGACGATGGTGGGCGAAGCGCTGGGTGCGGTCACGGGGCTCGAGCTGGCCGACGGCGCAGTCACTGGGCTTGAGCTGGCCGACGGCGCCGCGGTCGGGCTGGCGCCGCCCGAGCACTGGACGGAGGCTACGGACAGGGGCGCCTGGGCGGACGACTCCCAGATGTAGCCCCAGTTGAAGGCTTGGCCGGAGGCGAGGCCGCCGTTGAGAATGACGTAGTCTGGCAGGTCGTAGACGCGGCTGGCGCCAGCCACCGGCTCCAGGCCCCAGACCTGGTCGATGGCGGTGGTGGGCGCGCCGAAGGCCACCTGGAGAGCGGTGACGGTCTCGGAGCCGGAGGAGACGATGCGGGCGTTCCACTGGGACATGGGTACGCCGCCGGCGCCGTTCCAGGCCGAGCCCAGCGACTGTTCGATCCGCACAGCGCAGTCGGCAGCGGTCAGGCAGAAGAGCGCGGCGAAGACCAGCAGGACGAGTTGGTGTTGTTGCTTCATGGCTGAAGAAGAACTGGTTCTCAGGTGGAAGTGTTGATGTTGAGGGTTGTTTGGTTGTTTGGTTGTTGCAGCTGATGAAGAATGGAGAGGGCGAGCTCAGCCTTTTACGTGGAGGTCTGACCAATCCCCTGCTGACCCGCCCACATTAAAGTTCCTCAGGCGTTCCATTGAAACCGGCCTCAAATTGCACTCACGAACTATGGACCCACTTAGCCGCGCCCGTACAGCACCACCTCAGGGTCATTGCTGTCCTCCTCCTGGCTTGGACGACCCGGGAGTTTTCGAGGCCCTGTCCCATTCCGCCCAGTCCTCCTTTCTTCGTTTCGAGTCCTGTCGCTCCACCTTACGCTCGCCACCCCAGGTCCACCATGTTCATGGCACCAACAAAAAGCACTTCTTTCAGCTTCACAGTACCTGCACCAACCATCAACTCTCACCATCGTCACCATCGTCACCACAAACTTCAGTGTCTTCCTTTGTTTATTTATTTATTTATTTACAGCTTGATCAAGCGTCATCAGAGGTAGAGGTTGGACGGCGGGGCCTTGGGGGTGAGGGCCGGGAGGGCCTTCATGACGGCCTTGCGCACCTCCTCGAGCTCGTCCTCGAGCTTCTCCAGCTCGGAGACGGAGATGGCGATGCCTGGCACCAGCTTCTCCAGCAGCTGCAGCAGCACGATCGCGGACTTGGCCGACGGGATGATCGTGCTCGTCGGCACCACGAGCCCCGTCACCTCCTGGTCCACCAACGCGGCCTCTGCCAAGATCGCACCTGCACACACTCCCAACGATGAGTAGTGGTTCGTGTCGCGTCGCGTTGCGTTGCGTCGTGTGCGTGCCGTGTGCGTGTGCGTGCCGTGTGCGTGTCGTGAAAGCCGCCGTACCAGTTACGCCGGAGATGACGCCATCGACGACCGGCACGCAGTCGAGCCCGCGCAGCTTCTGCGCGAGTGCGGGATCGGTGGTGACAAAGTGCACCTTGTCGCCGTAGAGCTTCCGCGCAATCGCCTCCTTCTTGTTGTCATCGCCATCATCGCCTCTCTTCTCCGCACTTCGCTCCTCGTCCTCCTCTCGCTTCTTCTTCTGCTTCTGCTTCTTTGATTCCTTCTTCGTCTTCGCCGCCTTCTTGTCGTCTTCCTTCTTCGTCGTCTCCTGCTCCTTCTTGCCCTTCTTCTGGTCCTTCTCGCCCTTGGACCCCTTCTTCCCGTTCTCGTGTCCTTCGCCTTCTTCGCTCTTCTTCTCCTCCTCTTCTTCTTGTGTTTGCTGCTCGTTCGTCTTTCCCTTTTCTTTTCCTTCTCTTCCTCCTCCTTCTTGGTGTGGGCCTCGGCCAGCTTAGAGTCGTCGATGAACGTGTGCATCCCCTCCTCCGCCGTTCCCTCCCCGTCCTCCTGCGCCAGCGACACCTCCTCGCCCGACTCCAGCTTGATCCTGTGCGTGTCGTGTCGTGTGCGTGTCGTGCCGTGCCGTGCCGTGTCGTGTCGTGCCGTGTCGTGTCGTGTCGTGTCGTGTCGTGTCGTGTGTCAGTTCCAGAGCTGATCGAATAAAGCGAGTAGGGTTCAGAAGTACGTGTCGCCGGTGGCCATGCCCTCGACGGTGTAGATCATAGGGCAGCGGTGCCTGCGAGCAAAGTCGTAGATGAGGTCGGCGACGGACCGGGCCACGACCTCGTCGAGGCTGATCTCGCAGACGAAGATGACGATGCCGCGGTTGCCGTAGATGCGGGCCGGGTGGGAGGGCTGCTCGCACTGCACCGTCGCCACCGAGGGGATGCTGAGGGACTTCAGCACTCCCACCAGCGGCAGGCCCATCGACTTGACCAGCTGCATTCCTGCATTCCACATGGGTCAGTGTCATGACGTCGCCAAGCGGCTGTGCATGCGGTGGTGCGTGTGCGGTGGTGCGTGCGATTGAGGGAGGAGGTACCAGCGAGGACGGACACGACGCCGGTGGAGGGGAAGGCGTCGACGATGGGCGCGCCGTCGCAGTCGATGTTGGTGAACTCGACGAGCGTGACGTCGGCCCGGGTGACTTCGGTCAGCGGACGGGTGCGTTTGATGATGCCGGTGTAGTCCTCCTCCTTCTTGGGGGCCGGCTTGCCCCCCTGCGCGCAGTCCTTCTTGAGGCAGGCGCCACTGCTGGCCAGCAGAGAAGCAGTTGCCAAACTTTCAGCCGACATTGTTTGTTGATGAACGAACTACTAGTAGGAATGGATAGGTAAGGTGTGAGGTGGTGCAAGGTGTGCTGAAAGATGAGGAAGTGCTGAGCTGTACCGTTTTTGTGGCCGACGCTGGCATTTCCCGTGTGTGTATATAAGATTTCATTGAGATTTCGCCGCTGTTTTGTCAAACGTTGGCTCGCCCCAATCACCACCGAACATGCTGCCTCCAGGTCACTGTTTATTGAAAAACATCAACAATGCAAGGAGGGCGTACGAGAGAAAGCTTGAGGTCCACTGAGCGTTACCACCCGTACTTGCCCCAGGTCTCGGACTTTGTCTTCCGGGCGTTGGCGCGCTGGTTGAGGAGCTCCATCTCCCTCTGCTTGGCCTCGTAGGCGAGCGACGTGATCTGGTGCTTGCGCTTCTGCATTCCCATCGGACGATCCTTGGCCGACACACTCTGTGTGCACCGTTCACAACGAACGAACGTCAGCAAGGCTCGAGCCCACGAGCTGTTGTTGAGTCGAGCCATGCGTGTCGTCGTGCCGTGCTGGAAGGGGAGAGGTACCGAAGTGGCCTTGGCGAGGTTCTCCTGGATGAACTCCTTGCTCCAGCCGGTCTTGTCGGTGATCTGGGCCTGGCTCACGTCCACGATCTTGGCGCCCTTCGTCAGGTGCTCCCATTCTCGCGTAAACTGCAAGTTGTAGACGGGGGGGGGGGTAATGAGTAAATGGCGCACAGCCAGGTGATCGAGAAGAGTTGTGAAGATGCTGCAGACCTCTGGTGGAGGCTCCGGCAAGTCGCCCAACGAGGCCTGAGGCTGCGCTTGCTGCTGCTGAGAATAGTCCCACCCGGCCTGGTGCGCATCAAACGGATTGGGTAACGTTAGCACTTCTCCTCCCGCAAGCGGCACGTAGCAGCAACGCGTAGCAGAAACTGAAGGTGTCGGCGCTTCTCACCTGCGCGTATCCCTGTTGCTGGTAGCCGTATTGGTAGTAGGCCTCGTAGCCCGGGTAGGCCCCGTATGCGGCGGCGTCGTATGTGCCTGCGGCAGCGTACTCTACTGCGGGCGCGGGAGCGGGAGCAGGCGATGGCGCGGCGGTCTGTTGGTGCGGATGGTGGGCAGAGGACGGCGCAGACGGTGCTGCACGCAGCGAACGCGGCGGCTGTCGAGGGGCGCCCTGTCCCTCGTTTCCTGTTGTTGTCGATGCTGCGGGCTTTGCCGCTTCACCTTTGTCGCTACTCGGCGTGCTTGTGCTCGAGTCGCTCTTGTCCTCCGCGTTCTCCATCTGACGTCGGACCACTGCGGCCGGGGTGGCCATGCGCTGGCGCTTGGCTGGGGTGGGGTTCTTCGGTGCCGGCAGGAGCGCAGAGAGGCCCGACGGCTTGGGTGCCTCGGGGAGGGCGGGTCCGCTCTGGTGCATGAACTCGTCCTCGTACTTGCCTCGCAGGGCCTCCTTGGAGATGGGCAGCATCAGCGAGACCGTGCGCTTCCCCTTGCCCTTCGAAGTTTCATCCTTTGTGATGCTGCTCGATATCGATGATGCAGAGGGAGGCGGTAGGCGAGAAAAGAGGGAAGAAGATGCAGAGGCCGTGGCCGAAGAAGAAGGCGCTGGCAACTTGGAGAAGAGATATGAGGAGGGCTTGGGCGATGGCGTACTGGAGGTAGATTTGGGGGGGGGGGATTAGAATAAAATGATAACGGAAACATCAATCGCGTGTACCTTGCCTCAGCTGCGGCTTGCACATCTTCCTTCTGTGTCTCATCTTCGTCGTCGCTGCTGCCGTAGCCGGCCAAGAGGAGATCCATCCTTAGGCCTCGTGTGTTTTTTTAATTTGTTTTTATTCTTGTCTCGAACGTTTTCATTTGAAATCGAAAATGTCGAAAATCTTCCCAATCGAATTTCGGGTACTTACGTTATGAATGAGGGCTCGCGGCCGTTCTAATGCCACTCCGCCTTCTCCCCAGTCGCTCACTAACACAATTTAGGGCCTGAAGGCCACACGCAGACACCCTCATCACTGCAAATTCCTTCCTCCCATCGCGGCTGGGTCCTGCACTTGATCGCCACGCACAGACCAAATTCGGTGAACTATTTTTGTCCCTAATTTTCCTTTTTATTTTCCTTGACATATTTTTGTGATTTCTCGAAATGTCATACAGTCGCTGGATAAGGTCCATCCAGGCCTTGCACGATAGCGGCTGCTCTCCCCCGCCGTACTCCCTTTGAGTCAAGATCAACTTCCTCTCGATCCGTGTTGTGCTATCGTCTTCCGGTCCTCTCTTGGGGCTGCAGGACGTGCGTTTGGCAGTTTCCCACAGACCTAAATTTCGCTACAGTGAGACTCGAACTGCACCTCCCACAAAACACAAAAACACAAACCATTCCAATAAGCTTTTGCCGTTTCGTCATTTGCCTTCTTCGAAGGGTTTGAGTGCTGCGATTGGGAGCTGGTCAGTCCACCGTAACGGATAAATTGCCCCTTCCTCCTGTTGTCTTTTATTCTTTATTCGCACTCTCCCCACCTACAATCACTTTCCTCCCTACCCCGCCCACACTACCACCATGCCGAGAGAACCCATCCCGCGTCGGGCCAAGGAGGTGAAGCGCGAGCCCACGGACTACGTGTCGCTCATCCAGCCGGCCTTCCAGCCGTCGCAGGTGGTCGGCCACCGCAAGAAGGAGGAGGAAGCCAAGAAGGAGGCGGCGACCAAGAGCGCGGCCACGCCCAAGAAGAAGCTGACCCAGAAGCAGCGCAACGGGAAGCCCACCTATGCGAGGATGATTGCGAACGCTCTCGTCCATCTTCAGGAGAGGACCGGCTCGAGCGGCCCCGCTATCGCCAAGCACATCGAGGCCAACTACGGCAAGAACCTTCCCGATAACTTCAAGATCTTCCTCCGTCGCGCATTGAAGAACGCCGTCGATGAGGGCATTCTGAGGCACGAGGGCGCGCGCTACCGTCTCTCGAGCTCGGGCAAGTACAAGCTCGGTCTCAAGAAGAGGAAGAAGGCCCCCAAGAAGAAGTCCTCCTCCTCGTCGTCGTCGTCTTCGAGCAAGAAGAGGAAGTCGAGCTCTTCGTCGTCGCGCTCGAAATCGCCCAGCCGATCGAGCAAGAAGTCGTCGAAGGACAAGAAAAAGAAGAAGACCAAGAGCAGCAGCAGCTCCTCCTCATCCTCCTCTTCGTCTTCTTCCAAGGCGAAGGAGGCCAAGAAGCCGTCTTCTCGTTCGACTCGATCCTCCTCGTCGTCGCGCTCTTCCTCATCGTCGTCCTCGTCTTCTAAGTCGTCCGAGCCCAAGCTGACGCCCGCCGGCTACGATCACTACTGGCAGTTCCAGGAAGGTAGCCGTTGGCTTCCGTACGATGCGACGGCCTCGGACGTCGTCGAGAAGGCATACCTCGATTACAAGAAGAACCCCGGCATGTGCGACGTCCGCGCCGTCAAGAGCGGTCAGTGGCAGTACCAGGTCGATTTCCTCAACAACAAGCAGACCGTACGTCTATTCCCTAATCTCCTCCATTTCCTTCCTTTCATTCGCGTCTAATTCCTTCGCATTCGCTTCTTTTCTCAACAGAACATTCAGCATGAGAACCACACCGTGAGGTCCATTCGTCGTGTAGCAGTAGGCAAGGAGTCTCCCTAAACGAGAGGAGAGGCGAAGAAGAAGAAGGAGGATTGGCTTGTACATAGGCGGCTGCTCATTCTCATTCGATCACAACTCAATGAAAAGAAAAATAAACAAATCCAAGATCTAAAGAAAAAATGGTCCATTGCTTACTCTTGGCGCCCTTTCACGTGACCGTTGCGAGACGTTGAGGTTGGTGAGCACCTGAATTCTATTGCGTGGCGGGAAGGGGCGCAAAAGTGATGGCATCACCCTCCATGCCGTCGATCACAGCCAAGGACACAATTGGCACCTCTGTGAGCTTGGAAAGGAGTTCGCGACCGCCCTGTTGGTGCATGCAGGTAGGGGCGTCAGATACGAGGGCATTGCCGAGGAGAGAAGTCATAGCGATACCTCAAAGCTCTTTTCCACAAGGGCGCCGATGCCCACCAGCTTGGCGCCAGCTTGCTCGATGAGGTTCATGAGCGCTCGAATGGTGGTACCGGAAGCTGTGGCAGAAAGGTGCGACAGAGGAGTGAGGTCATGATACACGGAGAGGTGAGCTCACCTCCACAATCGGAGTGCGCACCCAAGAAGTCGTCGATGAGGAGTACGTTGTCCTCAGCCTTGAGGTACTCTTGTGAAACAAAAAGTGACACAGACCCTCCTTTCTGTATTTGCGTGAGTGAGTGCGTGAGGGAAGGGCGGGAACAAGAAGGAGCGGACCGTGTGAGAAACAGATTCTGTGGTGAGGAAGTGGTCCATTGTAATGGGGCGCTTGCCAGAACGGCAGTAGATGACGGGGCAACCCAACTCAAGGCCTACACTCACATGGACAATGATGATATGAGGCTACAAAGTCACAGGCTCCATCCAATCTTAGAAGAATGACGCACCAGTCATGAGTGAAGGGGCGACGCCAGAGGTTTCCACGGTGAGGATCTTGGTCACGCCCATGCCCTGCACAGGAGAACAAGGATGAGGTGAGAACGCGAGATGTACGTTTCTGTGGCAAGAGGTAAAGGTACCTTGAACCGGTCCGCGAGCTCGCCAGCACATGAACGCATCAAAACAGGATCGATCATGTGATTGATAAATCCCTGCGGAGATGAGATAAATTAAATTGTCAACGGCGATCAGTGAACGGATTCTACTGGGCGGAGAACAACATCATACATCGACTTTCAAAATGCCTCGGCCCAGGTTGCGGCCGTCCTTGGCAATGCGATCGCGGAGCTGTAGGGCCATCTTCTTTGGGGGTGTTGCCCCAAAAAATAAAAGAGTATTTTATTTCGTTAAATAGTCTCCATCGAAGCACAAATCGTGCAACTCGTAAGGCGGAAGAGGCAAGCGAAGAATCGAAATCCCCGAAATGTGGCGATTCGCACACATTTTCCCGACCTAACGGAGATCGCTTGTTCTGGCAGCACGCTTGGTCTCGGGTGTGAGGGGAACACGCACCAACCGGCAGAATGGGAACTTTTTTTGGCCTATCGCTTCCTCTGTTGGCGCGGTTGTTGTTTGGGGAGCCAGCTGTGGCGTGTGCGGCGTGCCTGGCCCGCAGAGGCACAGCCTCATCAAATGGGCGAGCTGATGGGCTTTCGCCGCAAACACAGAGCGGCGCCGAGACTTTGGCGTCTTTTTGCCTTGTTTGGGGTCGTGCACACCAAGCACCCAGATCGACGACGTTGTGTCCTTGGGCTCCTTTGTGGGACCGATCACGCCCCAACAATCACGCCAACCTCAACACTCTTTCGACGTTCTTGACAAGCAAGCATCGCATTTCCATGGAAATCGCTCGTGTCTCCGCGCCACGAAAACGCTCCGAGCAACCGACCGCCACAAACCTGCAAATCAGGCGAAATCCCGGCTCCCGCCACTCGTGTCGCCCGCAACGGCGTATCCGGAGGCACGTTGCCCGGTCGCTGCCAGGAAACAGGATGGAATTTCATCCAACTCCATCCGGTTCTTAGAAACGGCGGGAAAAATTGGGCGGCATAAAAGGCGGCGCCACATCAGCGGCACAATTCGAACTTTTTTCCACGACCCCGACGACACGCACACAACCGAGTGCCACCTCTGGTCTCTCGCGCTTCCCTTTTAGTCGGAAGTAGAAGAAGAAAACTCGACACACAAACACAAGCCACGTAGCGGGCACATCTTCGACTCCTCGCACAACACATCTGCACAACGCATCAGACAACTTCACAACTTTCACCACACACAATTTCGACTTCAATCTCGGAAAAGATGCAGCACGCACAACAGCAGCCGACTATGCCCGTACTCGGCAACTACCTCCTCTCGGACAAGGTCCTCGGCCGGGGCTCGAACGCCTCGGTCTACCTGGGCTTCTCGCGCCACTCGCCCAGCAAGAAGGTGGCGGTGAAGATCGTCGAGAAGAAGGCCCTCTCCGAGGAAAAGCGGAAGGAGCTCAACCAGGAGATCGACATCCTGCAGAGCCTCCAGGCCCACCCCAGCATTATCCAGCTCCTCGACGTCTACGAGGACGAGGCTCGCGTCTTCCTCGTCTTCGAGCACAAGTCGTGCGACCTCTACACCTTCATCCGCAAGAACCGCCCGCTCTCGGCGGAGACCATCCGCGTCATCTTCAAGCAAATCGTCGACGCCGTCGAGTTCTGCCACAACAACAAGGTCGCCCACCGCGATCTCAAGATCGAAAACGTGCTCGTCGATGAGCACAGCCTCGAGGTCTCGCTCTGCGACTTTGGCTTCGCTACGCGCTTCGAGACCGACAAGCCCCTCACCAAGTGGTGCGGTTCGCCGCACACCGTCGCGCCCGAGATCATCTTGCGTCAGCCCTACAACCCGGTCGCCGTCGACACCTGGGCGCTCGGCAGCATCCTCTACGCGCTCCTCTGCGGTTCGTTCCCCTTCCAGGCCAAGAGCTTCAAGGAGATCTTCCAGCGCACCACGGTCGGCATGGTCCACCCCTTCCCCAACTTCGTCTCCCAGAGCGCGCGCGACCTCGTCACCCGCATCCTCAAGACCCGACCCGACAAGAGGCCCACCACCGCGGAGGTCCAGTCGCACCCCTTCCTCCTCGCCGTCGACAGCGAGTGAGCGCGCATCGGCCGATGGCCACCATCATGATGTACCAACTACGACCACCACTACCACGACCACCTCCACCCGTGCGAGAGCGCGAGTGGTGGACGCCCCGACACCCGACTGCGACGACGTCTGAGAGACGAAGAACGACACGCAGCTCGCGACCGATCGCCTTCCCAACCGCGCCGAACATCATCGGACGACGGGCCGCCTGTGTCGATGCAGAGGCAACGACACGAGAGCGGCTCACAACTTCACACCGCGAGAGGGAAGCTCAACTCCAAACCACCAACGACGGGCCTTCTACATTTCGACATCTCCCCGACGACTCGGGTCAGCGCCTTCAACGAGGGAGGAGGACGCAGGACCTGCAGCCAGCCGTGGGAACTATTTCTATTTCTATTCTCTGTCCCAACACCATGTCCATACACATATTTGTAATTACTATTGTACATCACCATCTAAACAAATAGAAACATACCTTACCGAAACTCTTTACGTGCCACACTTCCAAGCCCACCGCCACCTTCCAATTTATTGATCCTCTTCTTTGGTCTTTGTAGACTTCCTCATTGACCAACGTTGACTGAGGCGGCCAAGGTCCCAACATTTCCAGCTTTCTGGTTCCCCAAGACGGAAATGGTCGCAAAATTGTGTTTATTTACAAACAATTGATGAAGGTGGCTGCGCTCGTGTTGGTCTGGGCCACTCTGTCCCTTGCCTCAACGAGCTGGGTCGCCGTCGTTTCTCTTTCAAGCTTGAGAGCTCTCTTCCTTTCTCCTTCCTGGGCGAACTAGTTCTCATCCATGAGCCACGAGGAGAAGGTGCCGGCGGGGTCCGTTGGCGTGTAGGCCTTATCTTCGAAGCCGTAGGTGAGGGCGTCCATGAGCTCGAACCAGCCAGCCTCGAGCCCGCCAAGCAGGCTGTCCATGAGGGTCGGGGCGCTGTCGTCCCCGGTGGTGGCAAAGACAGAGGCCGGGCTGGAGTAGGCGATGGTGGTCATGGCGTAAGAAACGTGGTAGGGTACGCGCGACGCTTGGTTGTGTGCGAGGGTGAGAGTGTGATGTGAACTGCGCACTCACGCCGCTCTTATGCACTCCGCGACCCTTCATTACCGCTCCTCGCCTTGGGACGGTTGGCCACGCACATGACGTAGGCTTGGGACGTGAGGGACGAGGGACACCAGAAACAAGAGAGGTTGCAGCTTCCCCCTTCCGCACTTTTTCCTGGGCCACCGCCCGTGCGACTGTGTGGTTCTTCGGACCTCGGTGTCGTGATGACGACAACTCCCTTGTTTGTGGCTATCTTTTCAACAAGTGCGGGAAGAATGATTGGAATGTTGACATGTTTGGAATGTAGGGAGTTCCGCACCACTGGTCTCTCCAGGTTGGAGTTTTCTTTTTGATTTCCTCCCAATGAATAGGGACTGCTGTGGGGCTGACGTGGGAGAATCGATCTTGCCGCGAGATGGATGAGGGAGCTGTAGGGATGTTGGGGTCGCCGACCGACGCGTCGGCCCTTGATTCAAGTCAATCACTAGAAGACACAACCCAAGAAACCCTGCCCTCGCACGAATCGCCTAAATCTGTAGAATTTGAGGACGAAACACTTCAATTCGAGCATCACGAGCAACAAGAGGAGCAAGAAGACCCACGTCCACATACAGAAACAGAAGGGGAAGACATGCATGTCGTGGGCAGAGCACTTCATTCGGCGGCGAATGATGTCGCGGCTACATCTCCCCGCTACGAGCTTGCTCGAGGAATCGACGAACGCACATTCGACGGCAACCCTGAGGACCACAACACCAACCACGACCTCTCTGCGGCGCTCTACTCGTCGTCGCCATCGTCGTTGTCCTCTTCTGCCCCAACCACCACCTCGTCTCAAGGAGGTTGGGGATGGAGCTCGCTCTCGCGTAGCATGAACTTCGTGCCAACGCGATTCTACTCCTCCAACACCACGGGCCACGACCGACCTGAAGACGAGCAGACGGCCCTCGACGCCGAGCAAGCGCTGACGTCCAAGCTCTCCTCCGCCACCCACCTCGTTGTCCTTGCACATGGCCTTCATGGCGGTAAACCCTCCACCTCTGGTTCGTGCTTGGTCTTGTCCCGTTCTTTGCTCATCACGCGTGTGCATTCTCGTCGTGCTCTGGTCAATGGCTTGCAGGTGTTGGCGACCTGGTGCGCGTCGCTGGCGTTCTGACCGCCACCTATGGAGACACTCTTGCTGTCGTACGTTCTCCTTTCGTCTCTCTCTCCCTCTCTCTTAAGACGGAGTGCTCACCCTCTTCACGCTGGAGCACAGTTGATCGCCAAGTCCAACCACGGCTTCCTGGCCACGCACGAAGGCGTCGACGTGGGAGGTGAGCGTCTGGGCAAGGAGGTACAACGCGCTAGACCACCTGCAGACTCTTCCAAACGCAGCGTGCTCATG